GGATTTTTAAATTTATAAACCAAACCAAACCAATAAAACTCGGGTTTTTCAACCTCGGGTTTTTTCGGGTTTTTCCGGTAAAGTATTCATACAAGCATATAATTTACTTGTACTTCAAATATTTCTTTAGTCCTACCAAAATACAACTATCTAAGATGTTTCTTAAAAATATAACACAATATGATATGATTAATGACACTAAAATATCCAACAAAAATAATAATAATGAAATCGCGTAAAACAAATATTGCAAATTAACAAGTCATAATGAAAATGATCATAATTTAAAAGTACTAAGTCATGCTAAAATTAAGTTTAAGAAGTTTTAGTTACATGACTAAATATTAAAGAAAATTAAAATTAGATTATGTATTTTAATTGTCTAAACCAATGTAAAACTAAAGAACAAATATTCAATATTATTGTCATTCTTACTGTTGAGTTGATTTTCTTTTTGCATTAGTATTAATTTGATTTTGATTTAAGCTTTATTATAATTACTAACATCTGTGGACTATAATCTTTATTGACCCATTCATAATTCTAAGTTTCAAACTTGAAATAATATATTAAAAGATAAAAACTATGGAAAAGTATAAGAAATATTTAAAAATTATATCAAAGTAAATATTTTTATGTATAAAATAAAATTTTAAAATTATATATATAAATTCGGGTTGGTTTTTTTTAGTTAAAACCAAACCAACCCAAATATAGTCGGGTTATTTTTTTCAAAACCAAACCACTAGTCGGGTTTTTTTTTTTTTGGCTTGACTCGATTTGCGGTTTAATTCAGTTTTCGATTCGGTTTTGTACACCCTAGTGTATAATATAATAAGACAATAAAATGACACATTTACCACTCTCAAAGCTTTTCTCCTAAGGTTTTTGTTTAAGAAATATAAAATTGAAATTGGAAATTAATTTTTTATTCTTATTTATCCAATTCAAACTATAACATATTTTATATTATATTATATTTTGAGTCTAACGAACCAAACATCTACTAACATCTCCAACCAAATAATTTTCTATTGATCGTTTGATAGCTAGTTAGAATTATACAAATATTAGTAATGTAGAGATGTTAATTACAAGATAATTTATTTGTTATTAGTTATTCCATCTTTTATCGCGTGTAAAATCATACACATATTTCCTCCAAAACTTATACATGTATTAATTATGCGAGTTTCTAAATTGTAACCGAACATCATATAATTAGGTGTGTTGAATTTTATACATAGCGAAAAAATGCTACCAAATATGACACTATTTATACTAGATTTAATACATGAATAACTTAGCTCCGAACCAACTCCAATTATCACTAATTTATATGTTTTTATGTGTCTTTAAATATTACAAAAAACAAAATATACATAACACATTTATTTAATCATATCTTTTAGTTAAATCAGTGCGACTTTTATCCTAAAGTTTTCCTTAGAAAGAACTTAATTTGTGTAATTATCAGAAATTGATACCTCAACAAATTAAATATAAATAACATATTCTCTATTTAACTGATAGACTGAATGATTGACTATATATTATAAGTCATTGAACCATTATTTTTTAAAAAAAATGAGAAGGAAGCAAAGCTTCTAGTTTTTTTTTTTAAAAAAAAATGTTTGTCACCATATTTTAAATTTTTAATATTTAGCAAGCTAACATTATTCATACCACATATACATAAACAAAACTATTTTGAATAGAACATTTTTTTTTATAAGTAGAACAAAACAAACTTGAAAAACAAAGAGATCAAAACTCATCATCAGAACCACAAATTTTATTTTTTTTAATTATACAAGTGATAATATTATCAGATTAAATATTTAGTATTGATATTGAAACTTCAACTTGTTATTGAATATCCTTAATTTGGAAATAATGAATGTCAAAGTAAATCTAACTACTATTCTCCAGCCACAACTACATTAACAACTGCATTAACTGATTAGTTAACTATATACTATGTAAAGAAAAAACGACAGTCCGATACACTAAACTCCTATGCGTGGGATTCGAGAAAGAGTCAGACCACAAGGGTCTATTATACATAGTCTTACTCTACATCTCTGAAAAAGGTTGTTTAATTTCCACTACATCGACCCATGACCTCATGGTCACATGACAACAACTTTACCAGTTACACTAAAGTTCCCCTTCTAGAATTAAAAAAAAAGGCATTATAGCTCTCAACGAAGGAGGTAAAAACCATGAATTAAAAAAAAGGCATTATAACTGATACTGATAGTTGAGCTCAACTAGACCTATTGTTAACCAACAATGAATTCATGCATTGAGTCACAACATGACAAAGATACACTATGCTGTAGAATGTCTTATAATTTTGAATATGTGCTCAGACCATATGGTCGTATCTGTATAATAACTACGTCTCAATCCCAAACAAGTTAGCTCGTATCTGTTCAAATTGGAGAACAGTTTAGTCCCTTGGACTTTTTGATAGAAAGATATGATGTCCAAATACTAAGTTGTTCTATTCAACAGAACCATAAAACAGATCATTCTGTAATTTGGTTTGATGAGTTCCAGCACAACTTCTGAGCTCTGAGACAAAAGACTGAGGGGCCTATATTGCTACGAAAATGTTGTCGTACCCGTGTCAGATCCTCAAAAATGCATTAATTTTGAAGGATCCGACACACACCCGACTACATTCTTTGGAGAGTCTGAACAACGTAGCTGAGGGCTGCTATGTGTCAATTAACTCCAACACCATTGCTTAAGAGCCCAAAAACATAACTAGTGTACATTTGACATATCAAAGAATCAAGATGCTTCACCAAAGGTTTAGGTCTCAATTCAAAGAGAGAGAAAGACGTTGTTTCTCGGTGTGTATGTGAGAGAGGGGAAGAGAAAGATACACAAAAACATAGAGCATTCCAATTTAAACACTAGATACAACAACAACAAACTCAGTGTAATCTCACAGGTGGGGTCTGGGGAGGGTAGAGCGTATGCAGAGTCACATACCTTACCCCTACCTTGAGAAGGTTGATAGATTGTTTCCGATAGACACTTGGCTGAATAAACGATGAAAAAGAGGCAGCAGTAACATGGGTTCCTGGGGTAAACATAGCTGCAATTTCAATGGAAAACATAGAAGATAGTCTCAAAATTCAGCACATCAGATACTAAAGTGCGATAAAACTAGAGTCATCATTTTCTGGAACTAGAAATGACGTTGGTCAAAGGAATGGTCGTGTAGAGGAGAGTCCACCAAGATATACAAGTATCCGTACACAATCAACAAATCGTCATAACATATAAACAGAGACTGAACAAGGATGCTAAGGAACTTTGTTCTTGATGAGATGGAAACATAAAAAAGGAAACAAGAACTTCTAAGTGAAAGAAATCTTTCAAAGACAACAATGATCAAAACTGCTTGTTGCAAACATTACTACGAGTCTATGACATTCATTCCACCTCCACAGTCGGATGGACGAAGATACAAGAGATGTAAGTCCTATCAACATGCTTAGATCCATTTGTAGATAAAGCAAATGAGAGTAATCTTTGTTACAAAATGCAGTGGTTCTCATTTCTTTCAATGCATTTTGGTTGACAGCTCTTCTAACATACAAGTTAGTAAAAAGATGAACTAAGACCTGGCAGCCATTCCAGTCTTCTAGTCGAAAAAAACACAGAACAATCTAAGTCATCAATTTCATTAGGTGATTAACTTTGACCATACTAAAATGAAAAGAAAAAGGACATGGCGTGGTAGACTTCATACTTTTGTGACACGAACTGTTGGATCATGAAATTGCCAACTTAAGGAGACGACATTTGGAAATTTGACACATCATAGCATGCTAGTCCATCTCCTTTATCCACAGTGGGTTTTAAGTCTCCTGTTAAAGAAATAAGAGTTTCAATTTGAGATCGAGATCACTCGCTCAAGAAAAGAGTTGTAGTAAATATATATCAAAGCGTGATTTCACTCAAGGATATAGAACGTGTATGTACATTACAAATTCAAACTCCACAAAACTGAGAAGACAAGATACCAAACAAAACTTCGTTTAGGCAGCTATTTCCCATCTATTTCTATTTTCCTTTTCAATTTCTTACTTTTCCATCAACAAAAACTCAATTTAAAGAACCAAGAGAAATGTTATTTCGTACTGAGTGAATAATGGAATCTACTAGACAATGCATTTCTTCAATATGTTTTTTTTGACAACCGCAGTGTCTCGGCCAGCTTGTGCACACCTCGACTAACTCCACGGGGTACCTGCCACTTTCCACCAGTAACAAATACCAGGTAACTCTATCCACAAAGGCTAGGACAGATGGGCAGAAATCACCTAGTGTTTTTGCCTCCGTTGGAATTTGAACTTGAGACCTCACTGTTCTCAACCCACCTCATTAATGACCACACCCTTAGGTGTGCATTTCATCAAGTTGTTACGAGTGACTGACAGTAATCAAGAGGAAGTTATCATGTCATTTGTCAAATTTGAATCGTCAGTATTATAGCAATAGCAAGTATGCAAAGAGGTTTACAAAAGGTTAATCCAGTGGAAAGGATGATCTTCACGATGGATGCTAAGCTATCTACTTCGAAACATTACTAGGAAACCATTCCATAATCTGCACCATTTCATTAAAAATCAACAACAACAACAACATACCCAGTGTAATCCCACAAGGGGGGGGGGGGGTCTGGGGAGAATAGGGTGTACGCATACCTTACCCCTACGGTCCTACCTTAGGAGGTAAAGAGACTTTCCGATAAACCCTCAACTTAAAGAAAAGCATAACAAAGCAGATCGAAAAAAAATAAAGTGAAGAAATCATGGAAAAATACTATAGAAAGCATAAAAAGCATTCAGGAAAAACAAAGGAACAGTAACTACAACAAAATAGCGCAATAATCGAAGTACAAGAGGAAGCAAAAGCTTCAAGGTCAATTAAATACCTTTTCTACCTGCCTCTGATATTGTTGATTGAGCCCAATATACCACATTAATGTTTGTCTCTGAGCTACTCAAATTCAAACTGAACATCTACGTGTACGTATCGCCTAATCAGCTGGACAATAGATGAGGTAAAGTTGGCTAACATTTGACACTCTTCAGGTGTTTTAGTCTCGGAAATCACTCCATGAATAACTAATTTAGTGAGATTAGGGCATCTTTGCAGTAGACCAGTAACCCATTGAGTAAAGACGTCATTAATTACCGTTGATCCCAGCTCCAACACATTGACATTCTCTAACAGAGATAATCCTTGTAAACCATAGTGGAGAATTCCTTCTCGTAAGTCGTCTCGTAAATCATAACTAACTGCAAGATGGTTTAATTGTGGGAAGCAAAGTGCAATTGTTTCGACATCCACAATCTCATCCTCTTCATCAAACACAACGTCCCATAACCTGAGACTTGTCATTGTAGATGATTTCGAAATCATCTGATAGAACTTGGACCAATTTATGGTGAAATTACTAACATCAACGGTTTCAAGATTATCAACAGACTCACCAACATCAAGATGTATAATACTAACATCATCAATCTTGAAATACTTCAAAGTTCCTTTACCGACGAGCTCAAAAAGCTCAAGTGCACAGTCTTTTAAGTGCAGATTCTCAAGGCTGTCAGCCTCCAATATAAACTTGTCCAAACTTATCGCTTCAATGTAGATACTCTTTAGTGTAGTGCTGTTCAGCTCAACAGTTACCTGTGCATCTGACATTGCAATCTCGGGATTCACAAGGGCTAAAATTTCAATCTTTGGACATGCTGTCAGTAACAAATTAAGATCCAATGCTGAAATACTAACGTAACTTAAAGAAAGCGATTTTAAACAGAGGAACCTCTGATAATTTGGTTCAACCCCTGATACAGAATTATGAGCAAGCACCAACATTTCCAACTTCTGTCGCCCACATATATCAAGAATGTTGATATTTGGATTAGTACGGACATTGTAAAACAACCATTGCAACGATTCTCTTGTATACATGAGCCAAGCAACTACAGTGGAAGCTGAGAACTCATCAACATCATCCATCAATATCGATAAACCTTGTAAATGTGTTGTCTGAAACAATGTCTGAGTAATCAGTATCTCCAGCCTACTAGTACTTAGGTCTCGATAGAGTGGCCAATCATGAGAATTGAATGAAAGTGTATGGAGGTGTTTCTGACAAGCCTCCCGCCACTTTCTACACGTTGCAGATGCTACAATCACATCCCTCGCTGCTCCGAGGTGAGAGAGGATATTCCCAACGACCTCAACAGGAAGGTAATCCATATCACTAAAACAAGTAAACAACAATCAGAAATTTGAACCTAAAGAGTTTGCAACCTTTCAAGCCATAACTATTATCCTAGTAATTCCACAATGAGACGTCACCAAATTAATCAAGATTTGATTTTTCTTCAATCATCGCGTAAATTTTAACTTTTAACCTTCAAATATGACACGAACTAAACTAAAATGACATGCATTCACCAATACACAGACATAGACAAAGAAGCAACCGGACCCAGGGGTTCATCCGAATCCCCTTCAGTGGAAAGTACATTGTTTATACATGGTTAAAATTACTTTTTATGCATATATAGTAAATGTTGAACCCCATTCGGCTTCTTCCTGAGTTTTCTTCATCATATTTTGAACCACTTACTGAAAATTCTAGCACTGCCAATGCCTTCTCTCAAACCCGTATTTGTATTAAAAATATTATTTAGGAACATTTGGCCATGAGTTTTTTTCTTTGTTCCTGAGTTCCAACTCCGGAAAACACATTTGACCATATCATTTTTCCGGAAGTTAAAAAACACCAAAAAACTGTTTCCACTCCAAATTAATCACACAAATTCTAAAACAAATCCAATTCGCATTCATAACGAAACACAACTCCAATTTTCAAATATCATTTTTCGCTTTGAAAACAAAAACTACTTTTCTTCAAATGCTCACAATTTTCATAGCCAAACGCCTAATGTGTATAAAATAATTTATCCAGAAAACCCAGTAAGCAAAAAAGGATTATACTACAGAACTCATAAAAAAAATCCTAGCTCCGGCACTGGCATCAAATGGGTACCTCTAGAACACAACAAATTCACAATTTCTTGAAAAAAATTTGCAAAATTTGTAACAGACCTCATAGACTAAAAAAAAATCCTAGCTCCGGCACTGGCATCAAATGGGTACCTCTAGAACACAACAAATTCACAATTTCTTGAAAAAAATTTGCAAAATTTGTAACAGACCTCATAGACTAAAAAAAAATCCTAGCTCTGACACTAGCATCAAATGGGTACCTCTAGAACACAAAAAAATCACAATTTCTTGAAAAAAGTTTGCAAAATTTGTAGCAGAAAACAACACCAACCCATGATCTATAACACTTATCTGATTACAAAGATTAAGATTTTAAGGGTTTTTATACATACCCAATTGAGAAAACTGCCAAAAGGAATGAATGATTGATACCATTCCACAAAATCACCAAAAAATGAGAAGAAATTTTTTTCAGGTAGCATTATGGGGAGTGATAAATTGGTTGACGGTTCACAGATGAAGAGTAAATCAAGGAAAATTTTTTAAATTGGGAATTGGAGATCCAACAACTATGAGAGGGAGAAAATAAAAAGAATTTTTTTTTTTGAAAATTAATAAATATAAAATATATTTAATGTAATACTATATTAACAAAATATTATAAAAAAATTATGGTGAGTCTGTGATGGTGATAGTTGATAGTGACGAAAAATGATAGTGATAATTAATGGTGGTAATGAATGTGATAATGGTTGCAATATGTTCTGGTAATTGATGATGGTGATTATCAATAATGATTGTACAGTGATTAGAAGTGATGATGACGGATTACAATGATTGGAAGTGATGGCGGTTGTCGTTAAGGAGGGTGGTTGTGTGTGGTAGTTGATAATGGTGGGTAGGGGTGTTTTGGGTCGATTATTGGTCAAAATCAAATTAATTTAGTCGGTTTCTAAATTATTAAAATCAAACAAAACCGAATAGAATATACATTTATTGATTTGATTGTTATCAATTTCATTTCAGTTTAATTTGACTATTCAGTTATTAATCATACATGAAATTAAAAAAAAATTCATTCAAAACGAAAAAAGAAGAAGAAGAAAACAAAATGAAAAATAGTTAGAAGGACTAGCATTACAAAACTTTCAATCACTAAATTTATTGTGAATAAAGCTCCAAAATTTACTACTTTTGGCTTAGAAAAGGAAGAGTAGTCACATTTTGAGTCCCACCAAGAATTTCTACATATACATATACACGAAATCAATAAGATAAATACTCTCTTCTTGAGCTTTTTTAATTTCATATATACGAGTGTCTATAGAAATGATTTGATTCTCCTATCCCAATTTAAATTGATGAAGCTGAACGCACATCATTAAGATTATGATCTAATTCTTCAACTTAATTAAATAAGGTTCAAGTTTTCCTCATTATTAATCTATCTATATACTAGAAAGGCATGGCCCGTGCTAACATAGTAAGCCTGTGGTAAACAAAGTATTGTTCGAACTTATTTCAACCATAAAAGCCACAATTTTCAATGAAGCAACTTATTCAAGTTATGAATGATTTGGTTAAAGGGATGATCTAGTAAGTTATAAACAAAAGAAATTCAAATGAAAAGAAGTATTCTAGCAATTGCAATCTGTCCTGGAAACATCAGCTCTTCAACTCCTTCCTTGCACATATCTCCTTTTCAATGCCTGGACATTACTGTTTGTCGTTCCTGTAAATTATTGAAAAGGAACATATCAAAAATAGTTGGGCCAAGCTCCTATTAAGATATCAACTTCACTATTTACACAAATTGCATATTTATATCAAGATGACAAAATCAAAAGATTTTAGATACAAATTAAGCAGTTCTCTTATGTTTAAAGGTTGAAGTTAAAATGTAAGTAGGCAAATTTAGATAAGTCGGATATTATACATGTTGTTAGAGAAAATAGATTAGCAATGTCAAATTAGTAATAATGGAAAATTTACAATATTGGGACGATCAATATGCCCTACGGAACACGTAATGGAAATTAAAGAACAGGCTTACTTGTTAGAGAAATGGTCAGAGGATTGTATACTTTTTCCTTTGTTTAAATTGTCTTGGGGTTGAGTTGGTCGAACATGGTGACTGACAACTGGCAAACAAAATACAAAAGATGTTTAAAGGCAGACTTGGTCTGTACACATTTACAGAGGGAACACATTGGCAACATTAAGTTAATAAAAGAGGAAACCTTTCTCAGGAAGCACATGAGGTTCTTGGATGATAAGTGCAACATGTTATTGAAAAATCATCTCTGTACCAAGATGATGTTGGCTGCGTTGGGGTGTCAATAGTGGGATTTTCAAGAAGATTATATCTTGTAGAATCTGTTTGCAGACAACGAGATAGCAACAATGCCTCCCAAATACAAAACAAACTTCAAATGCTTACTTTACTGTAAACGTAAAATTACGCAACAAAAGAAATACCAAAGAAGTATAACTAAAAATAAGTGAGATTTACAAATACCAGGATCGAGTAGATGGGATAGATAAAAAGATGCCGGGAGATGTGAGGCAACTTTTTATTCCTTCTTTTGATAAATTCCCACATAAACAATGTCTACCAATAATTAAACTCCAGCTAGTGCAACTGATGCTATTGCATCTATTATTTTATCTGATGAACCTTATAAGACACTTATAAAAAAATATTCGACACGCTTAGTTGGTGCAGTATTTTCCATCAACAGATTGATTTGAGAGCAAAAAGGGATAATGGAGATATCAACACAAAAGAAAGAGAAGGAAAGAGTAATCCACATTTGCTGCAAGCTAGGAAAAACATGAATGACCAAATATGTTAATAATCTGCAAGTACCTGTTAAGATAAGGTGCTTCATGTATAATTACTTCAAATATGAAAATGGGTAGACTATCTACATCAAGCCCCTTGAGGTGTGAACTTTTTTCATGCCAACTGTGAATTCCTTAATATATATTAACTTGAGCTACTAATCGGTATAACAGAAAAAAATTGAGAAGAAGCAAAGACCACCCAAAATAATGTATAGAAAGAGAGAACCAACAACAATATTGACTTACTTTCCCTCTGTTCCTCTGATGCAAGATCTTCCATGATTTGTTGCATGTCACAGCAAATCCATGAAACAATAATACCATATTCGTTACATGAATATACAACTTTCTTTTTCGAGCTCTGCTAACAATAATACCATATATATATATATATATATATATAACACTTGAGCTACTAACCCGTATAACAGAACAAATTGAGAAGAAGCAAAGATCACCCAGAGTAATGTATAAAAAGAGAGAACCAACAACAATACTGACTTACTTTCTATTTAACCTCCAATGCAACATCTTCCATGATTTGTTGTGTTCACAGCCAATCCATGAAATAAAAATGTCATATTCGTTACATGCAGGTACGACTTTCTTTTTCGAATCCTGCTAACAATAATACCATATAAAACACTTGAGCTACTAATCCATATAGCAGATCTTCCATGATTTGTTTATCTGCATAAAATAAGTATTCATGGATAAAATTGGATTTAGAAATAGAAGATCCATGACAACAACCACCACATTGTGCCAAGAAAGAAGTACACTGACAATCCATAAATTATACGTATTCAATAATATTTACAAATAAATCGAGCTTAAACTCAATATAAACAGTTCTACAATCTTTATAATGCCATTTTGTATCATATCAATTTCACCTCTAATCACAACTGAACTTTATTGGTTTAATTAATAACATTAGTTAGTGAGCATACAATAACTGAAATTGAAAAAGAAGAATGTGTGAATAAAAGCCGCCTCACAGTTTCTAATTAAGGAATAGTTAAAATCTAAAAAAGATATGCATAGAAAACAGACAAAAGAATTCTATAGGCCAAGAATTTACAGTTGTAAAATCATGAAAAGAGGAAGCAAATTCCAACAATGTCGGCAGAAATCTTGTAATACGAACAATTTGTTTGTGCATTTTTCCTGTTTCAAGAAATCACCAGAGAACAATTGAAATGACGGGTGCATTACTCTAATGTCAGAGAATTCACATAAGCGTAACAAGATTATTGTAAAATCTTTACATGAGTTATCAAGGGACATGCCATGTTCCTTTATCTGACACAGAAATGTAGGACTTTTCACAGTCGATGATACCTTCTTTATTCTTTGGAGGTGTGTTGGTGTCTTCTCGAATTTCCACTTCCACATATGAAGTGAAACTCCAAGATCAATTGAAATGGAGAACAATAAAATTTCAGAACTTGGTGCTTGAAATGTAATTCGAAGTTTCAACATTTTCTAACTACATATAAGAACAAAGGAATTATATTACTCTCTAGAATAAAGAATCAAGTATTTTATAAATGCACTAAAGGAGAAGATACAAGGATAACTATTAAAGCTATAATGTCTCTAAAAAATTCCTAATAGTATTTTTTAAGAAGTAAAATTTCATTGCTCACCTAACAATAGTCACAATACCGTCAAGTAACTTCAATTCCACCAATTCCTCGCTTGTTTATTCCTACTGAAGTTGAAAACATCCTTAGGTGCATTTGAAGAATTTTTCATAGTGAGAAAGAGACCTTTACGCTCTTCTTTTTATTACTTTCCTTCCAATTCAACACATCTTCTAAAAGTATTAGTTAAAAGAGAGAAAGAGAAAGGAAAAACATATTTACATTAAGATACTTGGTACTGTAGAAAACCATTTGATTAATGGCTTAAACTGAATAACAATGTCAATTTACCAGTGGGATATCACATCGACAACATTTTATTTTATTTTTGTAAGTATTACATAGACAATATTCACAACATTTTTTCTTATAAAGTAATAAATTTTGTATTGATAATTGAGGCAGAAAACAACCATATACACACGTTAATAACACAAACTGAATTCACCTTAAATATAACATCCTTAGAGGGTAATAGAGCATATTTTACTCCCTTCATTTCAATTTATTTGTATCACTTTTCTTTTTAGTACGTTTAAAAGAATGTCTCTTTACTTTTTTAGCAACTCTTTATTTCTAACTTTTCACATGACATGTTAAAGATCACAAGTTCAAAAGGGCATTTTGGCACATCCTATATATTTTTAGTTTAAGACCATAAAACTCAAGAGCCTTTATTACTTGTAAAAAAATACATAAAACATGAATTTCTCCTTTAACATATAACATGCATATAAGAGATTATTCTCATAAAACATCAGCTTCCAAAATATACCTACTAAATAATAAAGAACTTTTAAATTCAAAAGTAATTATCAAGATTAGCATATTAAACAAAAACCATAACAAAATTCTGAAAATTGGAAGCAGAGAAGAGCAAGTATTATCATACCAAAGATTTTGGAAGTTGCTCCTAGTCTAAGTAAATAGCAAAGAATGATGAACGGAGATTGCCATATGTGTATCTCCTCTAAGTAGCAAATAGAACATGTTGAAAGAAGCCTTAAGAATATTTGCAATTAGCAAGTAGTACTTGTTTAATGAGTGCCCAAATAAAATACAACTTACATTACTTTTGGTACAAGTATT